GAGGATAAAGTTATATTTATATATAAATATATTGTTGCCCATATTGGGTTTTACTGTTGTTGGACATGAAGTTGAAATTATCCAGACATGTGATAAAGATGGGAGGAATTACATGTCAAACTATAGGCTGTTCTTTAAAGGATAATCACCAATGACTCTGGAAAGTCGATAGGTTAAAACAAAAATGGAGAGGGGGTTCTATACGGTGTAAGGTGTCGGTGGCCCTATACAATAAAACAATAACAAAACTACGGTGTTAGCTTTCATTGGCCCTATAAACCATAAATAACAACTGGCATATTATGATATAAGCTTTTATTGGCACTATAAACCAAAACAATAACTGGGAGAATACGGTATACGCTATCATTCGCCCTATAAAAACAAAACAACAAAGAGAATACTGTATAAGTTGTCAATGACCCTATAAAACAAATCAAGAAAAACTTAAAAATCAACGGTAGTTGTTTATGTATAATATTTAGCGATGGCTGTGACCTCAAGGACTAACCTGACCGTAGCCATGAACGGTGCGGTGACCACCGTAACCACCGTAGCCTTCAAAGTTAGCTTGGACGGGAAGACGGGTGGCGTGGTGACCACTGCCGCCCCCATAGTTAGCTTGGACGGGAACACGGGTGGCGTAGTGACCACTGCCGCCCCCATAGTTAGCTTGGACGGGAACACGGGTGGTGTGGTGACCAATTTGGCCCTTATGGTCAGCTTGGACCAGCAGTGTTACTGCTGCCACCAGCACTGCTTGCAGCAACAGACTATTTGAACAAGAGGAATGCACACCAAATTAGAAATTCCACGAGGATATAATTGAGACTGTTAGCAACAGACATATGCTCTAAGACTTTTTGTGAGTTGACGAAGCCACTGGACGCCGAAACGTCCGAAATACTCCATATGTATCTTTCTTACATATAGATTGCGTATGTTCATGATTTGCAATACTGCACATGCTGACGAATAAGACATATATGCAATACTTGGGTATCAGCGTCGCTAAAAATCTGCAAGAGAAGCCAGAGTGTTGGGGCAACGTTTCGCTCTGTAGTATGAATTTGTATGTGTGTGTGTGTGTGTGTGTGTGTGTGTGTGTGTGTGTGTGTGTGTGTGTGTGTGTGTGTGTGTGTGTGTGTGTGTGTGTGTGTGTGTGTGTGTGTGTGTGTGTGTGTGTGTGTGTGTGTGTGTGTGTGTGTGTGTCTCAACAATCAATATTTGCACCAATAACTCACTACAGTTGTGACCGGGTGTGGAAGTGTGAATTGCTCATTACACTATAATTTGTTCATGATTGTAGCCATGTATATCCCCTCAAGGAAGGTTCCTTGATGTTGGTGAGGGGCTCTTGATTTAGGGAATTGGATCTGTGCTCCAGTTCCCCGAATTAAGGCTGAATGCCTTCCACATTCCCCCCCCCCCAGGCGCTGTATAATCCTCCGGGTTTAGCGCTTCCCCCTTGATTATAATAATAATAATAATAATTTAGCCATGTATAAACGTAAGTAACCATTCTTACAGGATTCATTACCTTTGTAACTTGTGAGTTCATTACCTTTGTACCTAGTTCAGCCATCACAACTTTGGGAGCCCAGTCCCTGGACCCATTATGTACCTCTGTAATCTGTAAATACCTTTGTAACTTGTCATGATTGTGACTAGACCTACCTGGAGTTCATTACCTTTGTAAATTGTGAGTTCATTACCTTTGTAAATTGTGAATTCATTACCTCTGTAACTTGCTCAGCTATCAAAACTTTGGAGTCCAGTCCCTGGACCAATTATATACCTCTGTAACCTTTTGACTACCGCCCACAGGATGGGTATGGGGTGCATAATAAACATATTAAACTATAAGTGAAGCTCTACCCAGAGAGAAATGTTGTTATCTAGATCAAAGCTTGTTCTGTTTAACCTACTTCACCAGTGTCGGGAACACCATAGTTCCATTTATTCCCACTGTTGCTGTATCAAACACCCCAATGAAAATTCAAGGAGCCCCAGTACAAATAAGTTACTGATTTTTTTGGGGTTATCCTGGTGGGTAATTTACATATAGGTTACTATGTAAGATAACTGTTCTTGTATGTACCTGTATCTAAATAAACTTACCAAAATCAGTAAGCTAAGCAGTACAGTGGAACTGTCTCGATAAATTTACATTCTGTCTTTAATTGGAGTGTCCACAACTGCTCGTATAGATTGTCTTAATGTTCAAAACTTTTAGAGAATCTAACTTTCGCTAGCAAGGTAAAATTCAACGCTATTTTGTGAATGTAAGAGTGATGGTGGTGGCCTGGCCTACCATCTACCTCTGTTTACATTACCTGGACATGTTACAGGAAGTGTTGACGAAGTATAGGTCTGCTGAAGGAGGAATTAGTGGGCGAGATCGTGGATCTGCTGAAGGAGGGATTAGTGGGCGAGATCGTGGGTCTGCTGAAGGAGGGATTAGTGGGCGAGATCGTGGGTCTGCTGAAAGAGGGATTAGTGAGCGAGATCGTGGGTCTCCTGAAGGAGGGATTAGTGGGCGAGATCGTGGGTCTGCTGAAGGAGGGATTAGTGGGCGAGATCGTGGGTCTGCTGAAGGAGGGATTAGTGGGCGAGATCGTGGGTCTGTTGAAGGAGAACCCCTGTTGGAGATCTACTGCAGAAGAGGTTAAGAGGAACAGGTACTGGAGGAGGTGTGGGAGACAACTGCAGGTAGGGCTGATGGAGGTGTGGCTGATGGAAGCAGCAGACCAGCGTATATATACATCTGGCCTGCCTTCAGTCTGCACAGTGGTGTCCTGCATCAAGGAACACCACCGTTACCACATAACATCACCATCATCACACATCACTATCAACACATAAGAGTCTTCCCTACTAATCCTCCAGGATCCCAGTACGGCTGGTATTATCTCAGCTAGTATCCTAGCTAGTATCATCCTAGCTAGTATTACCCAAGCTGGTATTATCTCAGCTAGTATCCTAACTAGTATCATCCTAGCTAGTATCATCGTAGCTAGTATCATCGTAGCTAGTATCATCGTAGCTAGTATTATCCTAGCTAGTATCATCGTAGCTAGTATCATCGTAGCTAGTATCATCGTAGCTAGCATCATCCTAGCTAGTATTATCCTAGCTAGTATCATCGTAGCTAGTATCATCGTAGCTAGTATCATCGTAGCTAGTATTATCGTAGCTAGTATAATCGTAGCTAGTATCATACTAGCTAGTGCCATCCAAGCTATTATCATTCAAGCTAGTATCATCCTAGCTAGTATCATCCTAGCTAGTATCATCCTAGCTAGCATTACCCAAGCTGGTATTATCTCAGTTAGTATCCTAACTAGTATCATCATAGCTAGTATCATCGTAGCTAGTATCATCGTAGCTAGTATCATCGTAGCTAGTATCATCGTAGCTAGTATCATCGTAGCTAGTATCATCGTAGCTAGTATCATCGTAGCTAGTATCATCGTAGCTAGTATCATCGTAGTTAGTATCATCGTAGCTAGTATTATCGTAGCTAGTATCATCGTAGCTAGTATCATCGTAGCTAGTATCATCGTAGTTAGTATCATCGTAGCTAGTATCATCGTAGCTAGTATCATCGTAGTTAGTATCATCGTAGCTAGTATCATCGTAGCTAGTATCATCGTAGCTAGTATCATCGTAGTTAGTATCATCGTAGCTAGTATCATCGTAGCTAGTATCATCGTAGCTAGTATCATCGTAGCTAGTATCATCGTAGCTAGTATCATCGTAGCTAGTATCATCGTAGTTAATATCATCGTAGCTAGTATCATCGTAGCTAGTATCATCGTAGTTAGTATCATCGTAGCTAGTATCATCGTAGCTAGTATCATCGTAGCTAGTATCATCGTAGTTAGTATCATCGTAGCTAGTATCATCGTAGCTAGTATCATCGTAGCTAGTATCATCGTAGCTAGTATCATCGTAGCTAGTATCATCGTAGCTATCATCATCCTAGCTAGCATCATCCTAGCTAGCATCATCCTAGCTAGTATCATCCTAGCTAGTATTATCCTAGCTGGTATTATCTCAGCTAGTATCCTAGCTAGCATCATCCTAGCTAGTATCATCCTAGCTGGTAAACAGTCAACTGACTGGTGACTGGCAGGGAAAAAACGTCAATTTTACGCCAGGATTTAGGGGAAAATCATTGTCTGGGGGAATTTTGTTCTCTCATTACCAAAAAAAATGCATTGGTTATTGATGGCGCATAAATCCGGCGCTCCAGACACACAAATCCAGAATTTTGTTTTATACCTGTGGTGTGTCTGATTGTGTCTGGTTTATGTGTGTGGTTTAACTTTCTGGTTTATGTGTCTGGTTTAACTATCCCTTAGTCTTGTTAGGTGGGGTCAGTTCCTCAGTCTTGATAGGTGGTAGGTCAGTTCCTCAGTCTTGATAGGTGGTAGGTCAGTTCCTCAGTCTTGTTAGGTGGGGTCAGTTCCTCAGTCTTGTTAGGTGGGGTCAGTTCCTCAGTCTTGATAGGTGGGGTCAGTTCCTCAGTCTTGATAGGTGGTAGATCAGTTCCTCAGTCTTGTTAGGTGGGGTCAGTTCCTCAGTCTTGTTAGGTGGGGTCAGTTCCTCAGTCTTGATAGGTGGGGGTCAGTTCCTCTGTCTTGATTGGTGGGAGGTCAGTTCCTCAGTCTTGATAGGTGGGGTTAGTACCTTAGTCTTGATAGGTGCGGTCAGTTCCTCTGTCTTGATTGGTGGGAGGTCAGTTCCTCAGTCTTGATTGGTGGGAGGTTAGTTCCTCAGTCTTGATAGGTGGGGTTAGTACCTCAGTCTTGATAAGTGCGGTCAGTTCCTCTGTCTTGATTGGTGGGAGGTCAGTTCCTCACTCTTGATAGGTGGGGTTAGTACCTCAGTCTTGATAGGTGCGGTCAGTTCCTCAGTCTTGATAGGTGGGGTCAGTTCCTCAGTCTTGACTGGTGGGAGGTCAGTTCCTCACTCTTGATAGGTGGGGTTAGTACCTCAGTCTTGATAGGTGCGGTCAGTTCCTCAGTCTTGATAGGTGGGGTCAGTTCCTCAGTCTTGATAGGTGGGGTCAGTTCCTCAGTCTTGATAGGTGGGGGTCTGTTCCTCAGTCTTGATAGGTGGGGTCAGTTCCTCAGTCTTGATAGGTGGGGTCAGTTCCTCAGTCTTGATAGGTGCGGTCAGTTCCTCAGTCTTGATAGGTAGGGTCAGTTCCTCAGTCTTGATAGGTGGGGTCAGTTCCTCAGTCTTGATAGGTGGGGGTCAGTTCCTCAGTCTTGATAGGTGGGGTCAGTTCTTCAGTCTTGATAGGTGGTAGGTCAGTTCCTCAGTCTTGATAGGTGGGAGGTCAGTTCCTCAGTCTTGATAGGTGGGGTCAGTTCCTCAGTCTTTATAGGTGGGGTCAGTTCCTCAGTCTTGATAGGTGGGTGGTCAGTCCCTCGGTCTTGATAGGTGGGGTCCGTTCCTCAGTCTTGATATTTGGGTGGTCAGTCCCTCAGTCTTGATAAGTGAGGTCAGTCCCTCAGTACTGATAGTAAGTGTTCAGTCCGTCAGTCTTCAGGGACTGAACGCCTCCTTCAAGCCTGAGAGACTAGGGACTGATCACTCCAGAAATCCCCAGAACTGAGTTGAGGTTACAACAACAAGGCAGTGTAATGTGGTGGTGAGGAGCCGTGCATGACACACCTCCACAATTTAACACCAGTCAGCAATATTTTCAAATTTTTATTTCGTAGCGGAAGTGTTTTGGGAGAAGTCAGTGGTCAGTCAAGCTTCGATTGTCGTGACACATCAGAAGCCGGAAGCCAGACGATAAGAATTCACACATACACAAAATATTGTAACCTTCACTTGGAGGCTTCGTTAATGGTCTGGTTATTCTCTGGTGACTTCTTGTGTGTTGTCTCTCTTACCTTCCTTCATCTCTCTCGTCTTTCTTACCTCCTTTCCTCTGTGTTGCCTCTCTTACCTTCCTTCCTCTCTCTCGTCTTTCTTACCTCCTTTCCTCTGTGTTGCCTCTCTTACCTTCCTTCCTCTCTCTCGTCTTTCTTACCTCCTTTCCTCTGTGTTGCCTCTCTTACCTTCCTTCCTCTCTCTCGTCTTTCTTACCTCCTTTCCTCTGTGTTGTCTCTCTTACCTTCCTTCCTCTCTCTCGTCTTTCTTACCTCCCTTCCTGTGTGTTGTGTCTCTTGTCTCTTCCTCTGTCACTATCAGTCGTGCTGACAGTAACTCCAGTACTGCTGGAAGGTTACCTTACAAGTTGTGGTAGTTACTGTACCATAGTTCAATGACTGACAAATATCTTCGTCTGTGTGGATGGTAGTGTTGTTGCTGGTTTACCTGAGGGGGTTTGGGGGTCAACGCCCCCGCGGCCCGGTCTGTGACCAGGCCTCGTAGTGGATCAGGGACTAATGAACCAGGCTGTTACGGTTGGTCGCACGTAAACCGACGTAGGAACCACAACCCGGCTGGTCAGGTACTGGCTTTAGGTACCTGTCCAGTGCCTTCTTGAAGACAGCCAGGGGTCTATTTGTAATCCCCCTTATGTATGCTGAAAGGCAATTGAACAGTCTTGGACCCCTGACACTTACAGTGTTGGCTCTCAGTGTACTCGTGGCGCCACTGCTTTTCACCGGGAAGATGTTGCATCTCCTGCAAAGTCTTGTGCTTTCGTAGGGAGTGAGTTCTGTGTGCAGATTTGGGTCTAGTCCGTCTAGGATTTTCCAAGTGTATATTATCACGTATCTTTCTCGCCTTCTTTCCAGGGAATACAGGTCAAGGGACTTCAACCGTTCCCAGTTCTCCAGGTCTGCAGTGTTGTTGATGGTAATGTAGTGGATCCATACATGATAGACAGGTAATCAGGTGAGCACTCAGAACATAACACTCGCAACACAACAGGAGCCAGGACTCGACCCCTGCAACCACAAATAGGTGAGTACAACACTCACAACGCAACACTCAGACACCCTATCAGCTCAGGTGCGTTGCTTTATCTATTAGTTGAGATAGACTATTTTATCTTTCAGTCAACAGGTCAACACTCAGACGTTTTTAAACCTGTAATGACTTGATGTTTTTATTAATAATAAAGATTTATTCAGTAGTTATTAGTTACTCAGCCTTTCCACAGTGGGGAGGAGTTGAATGATAGCTCTAGGCCTTTCGTGTTGCAATCATATCATCAGGAGTTTGCAATGTTGCAGAAATAGAGTAGGAATTCCAGGCAGATTCGTTCAGGGAACGAATCTCTGGATTATAATTATAATCATGTGGGAGCGCTAAACCCTTAGGATTATACAACGCATGTGGGGGGGGGAGGGATGGAAGGTATTCAGGCTCAATTCAGGGAACTGGAGCACAGATCCAATTCCCTAGATCAAGAGCCCCTCACCAGCGTCAAGGAACCTCCCTTGAGGGGTCGAATCTCTGGAGAGTCGTTCATGTGAATGAATCTGCCTGTATTTCCTAATCTATTTCTGCAACATTGCAAGTTCCTGATGTTATGATTGCAACAGGAAAGGCCTAGAGCTATCATTCATCTCCCCCCTGTGGTTATTTTGCATATATTATCACTAATTAGCGATTATTGCAAACTTATAAACATCTATTATGCTGGTATTCATTAATTTTAACTAGTAATTAGTTAATAATTTTTTATCGCTAAATTTAGCGCTCAGCTGATCAATAGGACATCTTTTGTGCCAATACTGTTAAAACAATATAAATATTACATTTAATGGGTTTTAAACGCAAAAACTAAATTTATAAGTTGTTGTAGGCGGAAACGACGTAGGAATTTGATTGTAATTGTACAAATTTTGTGTAAATAATTTATAATAAGTGTGGTGGGTAGGTTGTGTGTTAAGTTAGTGAGGAGAGTGACAACAACATGGCGTCGTCTGCTACACTCAGACTCTCTGTTATACAGAGACATTTATCCTCACAGAGACGTGAGGAAGTGTCAGGTGATGGCCAGGGCGGCGTGGGCGTGGAGGAGAGGTGTGGAGGTGCGAGGAGAGGGTGTGAGGGCGTGGTGTGGGCGGCAACAGGTGGCGGGGAGAGGCAAGATGGGCAGGGATCTGATAACAATCCTCTCCCATCACTGCCCAGGAGACGGTAATGATGATTTTTTAAATGTTGGGTTATCCCCCCTACGGGTTTAACGCTTTTCTTAGTTTTAATGTTAATTGTCCCATCAAGGGAGTGGCCTTTATGGTGGTGAAGAGCTCGTGGTTCAAGGGACTGGAGACATTCTCTCCTAGCTACTGCCCCTGCTAATGAAGGTAAGCGCATTCTTGTGGTTGGTGACTCTCAGGTAAGATATGTTGACCGTGCTTTTTGTAATAGGAATAAGAAGATGAGAGATAGAGTGTGCTTCCCTGGAGCTGGTGTTGGGGACATTGTCAACAGACTGGATAATATCATGTCAGGTAATGGGAACAAGCCCATTATCTGTCTCAGTGCTGGTGGAAATGATATTGGGAAGGGTAGGAGAGAAGAGCTGCTAGATAAGTACAGGTCAGCTATAGATTTCATTAAGTCTAAGGGAGGGATCCCAATCATATGTAGCATCTTGCTAGAAGGGGAGTAGGAAATGAATGGTTGTCTAGGGCAATTGGTGTAAATTGCTGGCTAGACAGATACTGCAAGGAACTTGCAATCCCATTCATTGACAACTGGAACAACTTTTATGGCAAACATGATATGTATGCAAGGGATGGGGTTCATCTCTCTGGGCAGGGGGTGGTAGCACTTGCAGACTCGATTGAGAAGGCCATTGGTGAAATGCCTATGATTTTAAACTGATGGAGATAGAGGTATGGGTGTGTGTGGGAAACAAGCAGGTTGCAACACTAGGTTGGAAACAGTAAATGTATAAAAGGCATTCAGCATGAAGTTATAAATAAAGACAATAGAACAGGTCAGAAAACAAAGGGGGACAGCAGAGGGCAGCAAGGGACTAGCTCCCTTAAGGTTTACTATACTAATAGCAGGAGTGTTAGAAATAAGATAGATGAGCTAAGATTAATTGCAAGTGCAGGAAACATAGATATTATTGCTATAACAGAGACCTGGCTCAATCTGAAAGATAGAGAGATGCCATCTGAATGTCACATACAAGGCTATAAATTATTCCACACTGACAGGTCAACGGGAAAAGGTGGTGGAGTAGCGATGTATGTCAGAGACAATTTAAATTGTTGTGTTAGACAAGATATTTTAAATTAGAAGCGTCAGCCACTGAATCTGTTTGGGTTACAGCTTCTCGAGGGCCGAGAAAAACTAATTTTGGGTGTGATTTACAGGGCCCCAAATCTTTATAGGGAGTGCAGTAAAAATTCTATGGGGACGAAATTCGTAAGGCATCTACATACGAAAAAGTTGTGCTAATGGGAGATTTCAACTATAGACAGATTGACTGGACAATTTGACCCGGAAATTTAGAGTCGGGTGACTTTCTTGATACGATCCAGGATTGTTTTTTAAAACAGTTTGTGACAGAGCCAACTAGGGGAAATAACCTCCTTGACTTGGTTCTTGCCAGTAGGGAAACACTAATTAATAATCTTGAGGTTAATGATGAGCTTGGGGAGAGTGATCACAAATCACTCAGTTTTAACATATCATGGAATTCCCCTAATAATGGCAATCAAGTCTCCGTCCCTGACTTTCGCTTGGCTGATTTCATAGGACTGAAAAATTACTTAGGTGGGCTGAACTGGAATGACCTGACTAGGGGTCAGGTAGGTGGTGATGGTTGCCGATATGATGCTTTCCAGGGCATAGTTTCTAGCTGCTCAGTCAAATTATGTTCCAAATAGGGAAATCAGATCAAACAAAAATGATCCTAAATGGATGAACAATAGATTAAAATATCTGATTGGTCAAAAGGAGGCATATATAGGCAAATCAAAAGAGGAGAGGGGCAATTAAGAAATCGATATATTCAGTTAAAGAGAGAAATAAAAAAGGGAATTAGAAAAGCAAAAAGAGATTATGAGGTTAAAGTTGCAAGAGAATCGAAGACTAACCCAAAAGGATTCTTTCAGGTATACAGAAGTAAGATCAGGGACAAGATAGGCCCACTCAAAAGTTCCTCGGGTCAGCTCACTGACAGTGATAAGGAAATGTGTAGAATTTTTAACACATACTTCCTCTCAGTTTTTACACAGGAGGATACCAGTGATATTCAGTAATGATAAATTATGTAGAACAGGACGATAATAAACTGTGCACTATAGGGTCACAAGTGACATGGTCCTTAGGCAAATAGATAAATTAAAACCTAACAAATCCCCAGGCCCTGATGAACTGTATGCAAGGGTTCTAAAGGAATGTAAAGAGGAGCTTAGCACACCTTTGGCTAATCTTTTCAACATATCACTACAAACTGGCATGGTGCCAGATAAGTGGAAAATGGCAAATGTGATACCTATTTTCAAAACAGGTGACAGGTCCTTAGCTTCGAACTATAGACCAATAAGCCTAACCTCCATAGTGGGAAAATTTATGGAATCAATAATTGCCGAGGCAGTTCGTAGCCACCTTGAAAAGCATAAATTAATCAACGAATCTCAGCATGGTTTTACAAAGGGACGTTCCTGCCTTACGAATTTATTAACTTTTTTCACTAAGGTATTTGAGGAGGTAGATCATGGTAACGAATATGATATTGTGTATATGGACTTCAGTAAGGCTTTTGACAGGGTCCCACATCAGAGACTATTGAGGAAAATTAAAGCACATGGAATAGGAGGAGAAATTTTTTCCTGGATAGAGGCATGGTTGACAAATAGGCAGCAGAGAGTTTGCATAAATGGGGAGAAATCAGAGTGGGGAAGCGTCACGAGCGGTGTTCCACAGGGGTCAGTGTTGGGCCCCCTGCTGTTCACAATCTACATAAACGACATAGATGAGGGCATAAAGAGCGACATCGGCAAGTTTGCCGATGACACCAAAATAGGCCGTCGAATTCATTCTGACGAGGACATTCGAGCACTCCAGGAAGATTTGAATAGACTGATGCAGTGGTCGGAGAAGTGGCAGATGCAGTTTAATATAGACAAATGCAAAGTTCTAAATGTTGGACAGGACAATAACCATGCCACATATAAACTAAATAATGTAGATCTTAATATTACGGATTGCGAAAAAGATTTAGGAGTTCTGGTTAGCAGTAATCTGAAACCAAGACAACAGTGCATAAGTGTTCGCAATAAAGCTAATAGAATCCTTGGCTTCATATCAAGAAGCATAAATAATAGGAGTCCTCAGGTTGTTCTTCAACTCTATACATCCTTGGTTAGGCCTCATTTAGATTATGCTGCACAGTTTTTGGTCACCGTATTACAGAATGGATATAAATTCTCTGGAAAATGTACAAAGGAGGATGACAAAGATGATCCCATGTATCAGAAACCTTCCCTATGAGGATAGACTAAGGGCCCTGAAACTGCACTCTCTAGAAAGACGTAGAATTAGGGGGGATATGATTGAGGTTATAAGTGGAAGACAGGAATAAATAAAGGGGATGTAAATAGTGTGCTGATAATATCTAGCCTAGACAGGACTCGCAGCAATGGTTTTAAGTTGGAAAAATTCAGATTCAGGAGGATATAGGAAAGTACTGGTTTGGTAATAGAGTTGTGGATGAGTGGAACAAACTCCCAAGTACCGTTATAGAGGCCAGAACGTTGTGTAGCTTTAAAAATAGGTTGGATAAATACATGAGTAGATGTGGGTGGGTGTGAGTTAGACCTGATAGCTTGTGCTAACGGGTCGGTTGCCGTGTTCCTCCCTTAAGTCAATGTGACCTGACCTGACTAGGTTGGGTGCATTGGCTTAAGCCGGTAGGGACTTGGACCTGCCTCGCATGGGCCAGTAGGCCTTCTGCAGTGTTCCTTCGTTCTTATGTTCTTATGTTCTTAGATCTGATTGCTGTACAAGGATCTCAAAGTCAAAGTCAAAGTCAAAGTCAAAGTCAAAGTCAAAGTCAAAGTCAGAGATGAAGATTTGTTTCCACATGATATAATGTTTGTACAGAGATGGCTGACATGTGGTTATGGATGCGGGAAAGTCATGGTTATGCACCCCATAACCTCTGAAGGAAGGTTCCTTGATGCTGGTGAGGGGCTCTTGATCTAAGGAATTGGATCTGTGCTCCAGTTCCCTGAATTAAACCTGAATACTTTCCATCCCCCCACAGACACTATAATCCTACGGGTTTAGCGCTTCCCCATGATTATAATAATCATGGTTATGCAGAGTATTTTGGGCAAACTTAACTTTATCTCCTTTATTTGTAACTGCTCTTAACATACTTAAGTTACTTAGCAGTTTTAAGGTTTAAATAATAAGTTATTACAAGGACCTGAATGGTCTGACTGGGTTGTCCTGGTGGGTAATTTACACCTGAAGTCAGTACTGGGCTGTGGTTCATACGTCAGTTTGCATGCAGCCAACAGTAACAGCCTGGTTCCCCTCAAGGAAGGTTCCTTGATGTTGGTGAGGGGCTCTTGATTTAGGGAATTGGATCTGTGCTCCAGTTCCCCGAATTAAGCCTGAATGCCTTCCACATCCCCCCCCCAGGCGCTGTATAATCCTCCGGGTTTAGCGCTTCCCCCTTGATTATAATAATAATAATAACAGCCTGGTTGATCAGACCCTGATCCTCCACGAGGCCTGGTCTCAGACCCTGATCCTCCACGAGGCCTGGTCTCAGACCGAGCCGGGGGGCGTTGACTCCCGAAACCCACTCCAGGTATATGCTGCTATGTATGATAATTCATGTAACTGTTTGTGTACCTATATATTTATTTAAGATTACAATGACAATAATTATTATCTGTTTATGTATAATGACATTAAAGTTATACAAACATCACTTTGTTTTTGGGGTAATTTACATGTTTTATTATATATAATGAATTTACTTATGTGTACCTAAATAAACTTTCATTACCAAGCTGCTCTATGATACCACCGGGTTTAGAGCTCCTCATGAGTATAATGAGATGAATAAATATACAATAATTCTTGTCTATCCACAGATATATTCCCATATTAAATTTAATTAAAGGTTGTAATTATTGAATTTAAATCCTTCTTAAATTTGG